TTATGTAATTGCAATTGCCAGAAAGAGTATTGAGGGTCTTTCCTGGCTCAAAGCTCAGCAAATGAAGAGGCCAGTTGTTTTTTGAATTCAAAGCCTCATTGTGCTATTTCTGGAGACCTATTCAGGGAGCAAGAAGAATTGGGGATGCAGTTCTTGGGTCTCATTATTTTTGAAAATTACCTCAAGTCTGGTACTATGCCTGCTATTCAAGCCTTGCAAGCAGCTAATAATCACTGGTAGTAACCCTTTAATGGCAATGAGCATTGCTTGAGAATGCAGCCTCCTTTTTCTCCCACCCCCATTGACCTGTGCACTCAGGGTAGAAATCAACACCTCAATCTCTCAGTTTTCAATAAGCATCACTGTATGCATTATGTTGAGGCTGTTATCAAATCCATATGAAGCAACATGTCTCAACTACACCTTGGAGGATTTTTTACCTCTGAGACAGGACATCATGACTGAAGAGATGGATGACACAGCCACAGTTGCTCAACTCACTCACTATATCATGGAACATAGTGAACCGGACCAAAAGAATCTTGTGGGATAAGCAACTAGGGGCCAATAGTTCATGAGCTGGGTGAGAAGACCAGCACTCCACATGCATTGAGCCTGCAGGCCCTCAGAACTCAGAACAGGCTTTTTTGTGAACATCTCACATATCTGTGTGACCTCAAGAGCAGCCTGCTTGACCATGCACTGCACATTTGCAGCATGGTTACACCAAGACAGTTGTGTGTGCAAAGAGGTATATGTGGATGCTGGGCATGATGAGGTTGGGCTCAGGGATATTGTCCTTATTGTTGTGTACAGTTATTTGATGTGGTACTGGTGGTGGTGGTAACTTTTGTAGAGTGGTGTTATAGAAGGATTACTTCAGTTTGCAACAGACTGAAATTGCAAACATTAGTTTTCTTTATGAGTTGCTACTGACTAGTCTTTGATCATGTCTTACCTGATTTAAGGAAGCAGCAAGACCTGTGTTTGGCAATTGTCAAACTACAGCTCTTACTGGTGCTCCCCTGTAGAGATACCGGTGGCCATTTTATCTTATCTTCCACCCCTGCATCTTCCAACCTTCAACCCACTCCCCTCCACACCATGACCACCCCCTCTGCAGAATAATTCTCAGAGCTTTGATTGTCAGTCACAGCTCTTATGGACATCATCAACAAAATGTCCTTGAGAACCACACCAGCTGTTGCCCCTCCAACACCTTCTCCCACAGCCTCTTCAGAGTTTGTGCCACCCATTTCCTTGATAATCACTAATGGTGTGTCTCCCCCACCTTCTCTTCACTCTCACTTCCCTGGTATTGAGGCAGTGGTCATCATGGTGATAATCACACACAAATTCAAGGCAGCAGGCCTGCACAAACTGGACCCCACCAACCATGACAAGGAGATGGCCTACACCTTCAGTGGGACTACCAGCCAGTTTGAAGTCAGCAACTGTATGGCCAAAGACTACAAGACTCCCTTCTCCATCATAATCCCCCTTCAACACTACTTTGTATGCTCTGATTCCATATTGACCACAACAGTCACTGATGTCTTCTATCAATATGTCATGCACCTGCTGGAGCTAATTGCAGAATACAAGTGGACTGCAGTGCTCAACTATCACTTGGTTTTCTTTGACAGACAGCACACAGAAATAGTGGTGGGTAACTACCCTAAACTGGTCCCTACCCACTACTGATCTCCTCTCAAAGCATGTCTATGCCTATTGTAAGCCCTCTGCAGCTAAGGCAGCAAAATTGAGTATCTGCACACCAGTCAACCCAGGAGATGCATGCAGGAATTTTAACAAAGGGAAGTGGGGCTAGCCTCACACCTGCTCTGTCTGCAAAAAAAAACAGATCATGGAAAGCACCAACATAAGAACTAGTCAGGCAGCAAGACAAGTCACCACTGCCAACCTGTGCCACCTCACCTAGGCCAGTCTTTGTGCAGCTCTTTACCCATTATGGACTTCATCACATTGCACCCCCTTGCTCCAAATCTCCACCTCCCCCCCTCAACTAAACACAGGACCCTACACCAACCTCCCTACTAACACATCACATCTATGCTGCATCTCCAACATGCTAAATGAAGAGGCATGGAAATTTTATCTACAAGATTACTATGGTTGCACATTTGTAAATACCCTCATCCAAATTATACATTTTGGTGCCAATCTAGGCTTCTCAGGTGATCACATTATCAGCCAAACCTGCATGAATCTTAGAACCACCTTTGAGAGCAATGATGTGACCAACACGTTATCCACCAACATAGCTGCTCAGGTCACCAACAGGCAGACATGTGGCCCCTTTGCTGAACTGCCATTTAGCAACTTCCATGCATCACTGCTTGGAGCTGTATCATGCAAATGCTCCAAGAAAGTTCACCACATCCATCATCTCTCATGGCCTGACAACAAATCTGTCAACAACAGCATCCCACAACACAAGGCTTTCTTCCAATACAACATGGTTGACAAGGCCATCTCCAATCTCATCACTGTGGAAGAGGGTGCCTTGATGATCAAGCTTGACCTTGAATCTGCATTTCACCACATTTCAATGTGCAAGGAGGACTGGCCTCTGCTTGGCTTAACCTGACTCAATAAATTCTATTTTGATGTGGTATTAAGATTTGGCTACCACTCAGCCCCCTACATATTCAACCTGTTTGCAGAAGCACTGCATTAGATCCTCCAATGCCATATTCCTGCATATATCTGCTATTACCTTGACAATTTCCTTGGCATCTTCTCACTGCACCAGCCCCCCAACCTTGCAGGTCTAAGCCCTCATGTGGGCCCTAAACTAGGCTCCCAGCTTGGCCTCAAGCTCCAGCCATCCAAGATTCTAGGGCCTGCCACTGCTATCAAATTCTTAGACCTAGAACTTGATTCAAACTTGATGGAAGTTTGTCTTCCTGGTGACAAGCTAAGGCACCTTCAGGAACTCCTGCTGGCATGGTCCACCATGACATACTGCACACACCATGAGCTTGATGAACTCACTGGATTCATGTAGTTTGCCTCACAGGTTATTCCACTCTCTTGTGCATTCCTGCAAACACTCTATGACTTTGCTTCTTTCTTCTCCACAACACACTTTGTTAGGTGCCACATACCTGCCCCTGCATGCTGCAACATAGCCTGGTAGCTTACTATGGCCTCCAACTGGAATGGCATCAGGTTCCTTGCCCCCTCACACACCTCTATCAATGTATTCACTGATGCTTGCAGGAAGAAAGGATTGGGATGCTTTATGGGTCAAAATAGTTTTCCAGTTGCTGCCCCCAATACCTCAGAACCAAACATGTTCAGGTAAAAGAAATGCTTGCAGTAGTTCATGCAATCTGGTGCTGGGGGAACTCCTTCTGGGAACACCACATCATATTCCACATCAACAATAAAGCAGTATTCATAACCCTCAACAACATCTCCATTCACTTGGCACCCATAATAAACCTCATCCATCAATTCCTAGCCCTAGCCTGCTGCCTCAATTTTACCTTTTCCTCTTCTTGATCATCTTCCACTGAAAATTTGATCACTGATGCTGCTTCTTGCTTTTCCTTTACATGCATGTTTGAAATCACCCCCTGGCTCAATCAACAGCCCACCTTGAAGCACCTCCATCTTGGTGGTACCACCAGAATTAACACCACTCAAGAACCATCACATTTTACCTATGGTATGGCCTTGCATCAAACACTTGGTGAACCTACTCAACCAGACAATAACAGTTTCTCACTTATGCCCAACTCAATAGCCTCTATGACCCAGATGGCTTGATTATCCCTGCATTGCAGCAGGCCATCCTTGCATGGATGGCAAGTCTCAGCAGATGCATGCAACCCTCAACAATCAAGGCCTACCTCACCTCTGTCCACTTCCTTCATACCAATGCAAACATTCCATCTAATGCCATGGACTCACCCATCATGCAGTGCCTCATCCAGGGAATCAAATAGTACTATAGGGAGCATGGACTACTGCCCGGTGCAGCCCATCACCCTATGCATCCTCCCATCTATTGTTGAGCAACTCTGCCCAGGTATCACTCCAAGCCACACAGTCTTGCAGGCTGCATTCTGCCTCACCTACTGTGAGCTTCTGTGCAGCAGGGAATTCACAACTGGAAAAGGCAAGTACAACCCCTCCCTCAATCTTTCCTGCAGCAATGTCAAGTTTGTCCCCAACTTTAACAATGCCACCCATGTGCACCTCACACTTTCCACTTTCAAACCCAACCCCTTCTACAGGGGGGCCACCATCACTGTTGCCACTGCTCCAGGATAGGTCACTTGCCCCATTGCTGCCCTCAAGGCAATGTACATTAAGCTTCCATGCTAACTGCAAGCCCCACCTTTTGAACAACCTGATAGCAAGCCCCTCTTCTATTCCTATTTTATCAAACACCTCCAGGACAACCTCACCTTTGCTAGGTTCAAGCCAGAAAACTATGCTGGTCACAGCTTTTGCTGCAGTGCAGCCTCTGAAGCAGCTGTGGCAGGGTACTCTCACTACAAAATCCAACTATTAGGAAGGTGGCACAGCAAGACTTACAAACTCTATATTGAAAACAATCTGGCATGCATCCTACATCTCTCCTCCCTCCTTCACATGGCCCACTCTCATACCATCTCTTTCAAACCTCCAATTCTTCACAACTTTACAACAATGGCTTAAGTTCTGGCCTCTCCTCAGAGCTCAGACTTGAGAACTTTGGACCAAGGATAACATTCTTCTCCCAATGTTTGCCTGCAACTGTTCCCCAACTGGTCAACCTCAAAAATCTCCTTACTTGCACACAAGAATTAATGAATCAATCAAGTATGAAAGGGGGAGGTGGGGTGGGGTTGATTAGGGTTAATTTGGTAAATAAGAGCCCTTTTTTCACAATTCTTCATGCACTTCCTTTCTCTCCATCCCTTTCTCCCACATACCTTTGTACTCATACTAGATATATACCTGCATGTTAAAATCTAATAATATGACCACACCAGAAATTGAACCTAGGACTTCCTGCAAGCATGGACAGGTACTCTAACCACTGAGCTAGATAGTCAAATACAATCTGGAATGGATATACCCATGGCTGAATATAGTCTCCTACTGCTATCTAAGTGCACTGTGGGAACTGGCACAAGCATTTTATATGGATGACTCAGAGGATCATTTCCATTAGATGACTTGACCTATCATCATCTAACACTTCAAGCATCACAAAGGATTCCCATCCTCTCACATGGTGCTTGCAGGCAAGTCTTACATTCACACTCTTCATTCATCCTCTCATATAGCACTCACAGATGCTGCTAGATTAGATCTTACACATACATCACATGTATTATTACATCCCACCCACCATCCCTATTCATTGACTTGTTCTACATACACAACTGCATTCTCACCACTACTTATATTTCACAACTAGTCCCCAGTAGTTAGCTTGAGTTCTGGCCTCTCCTTGGCACTCAAACTCAAGAACTTCAGACCAAGAATAACATTATTCTCCCAATGATTGCCTGTTACTGTTCCACAACTGATCAACCTCAAAAATCTCCTTACTCACACATAAGAATTAATCTGACAAAAACATTTTAAAAATATATATTAGAAATACTAGTTAGAAATCACATGATGGGTTTCTGACACATGTTTTCTCATGAAACACTTGAACCATCCTAAAGTGCACAACCACCTAGAGCACATAATTGCACATCTTCTGACTCTGGTTGTGATTTGTCTATTGAACCATGTGGGCTTTGCCTTCAAGCTTTGGTGCTGTGTAAGTTCTTCTTGAAGAAGGTCAAGGGACTGAAGGGCAATATTAAAATTGATATCATGCATGTTATCTGCCCAAATTTTGCCAATTTTTGGTACACCATTGCAGCAGAGTCAACTCAAGCTTCTTCCTGCACCATTGTATCTATTTCATGTCTGCTTTGCCCAAGTACAGTTCCTGGAGTCTGGAAATATAACTGGAAGTATAACCTTACCAACTAGCATTCAAATGCAACATACCACAACTATAGTCATTTGGCAGATCTTACAAACTTCAAGAGCTATGAGATGTGATGTATTTGGAAAAGTGGTGTGAACAAGAAGGCTGTGTCTCCACTTGAAGCATCTGCTGTGTGTACTGTGTGTAGATCTTGTGCTTCACTTGCAAGATATGATTGAGTGGTCTTCAAATGTAATATCTTAAAGTTTGATTTTTAAATTTCACTAACTATTTACATATTAGATCATGCCCAGCAAAGGTTCTGCACTAAGCATGTACTAAAATACGAAAAGTCTGACTGAACAAAGTGAAGTCTGTCCTGCACTAAGAAAAGTGTTTTTGGGGGTCTCCCCCAACAAGCTGGGAACTAAGTGCTGCAGTATTGGTGAGTCCAGTAAGTCCAGTCCCAAAGACAGGTGTTGTGAGCTTGTATACTAAGATGCTGTGAAGAGCTGTGCATGATCAATGATGTAATCCCAAAGGCTTACCAAAATCTCCAACAGCGCACCCCTTCTTATATGACCACTTCTTCACTCTGAAGCCTCACTTAGGAGACTTCATCCTGGAATGTCCTTCCCCACAAAAACTCCTCCTGTTTTTCTGCTCATTAATGGAAACCTACTCTTACTGATTGATTATCAAGGTTGACTATCAAAGAAGCAAATAAAGACATTCCAGGACCTAATAAGATCATCAAGGAAACAATTTTGTTCACTTTACAAGGCAAATCCCTTCCATATACAGGTAAAATAACCATTTTATGTCAACCAGTGTTAGAACTATGCACAGCAGAAATCCTGAAACTCCCTCAGTGGTTCAGCAGCTATCTCAATAACTGGAACCTGTGGCTGCTCAATGTTCTCAGGGCCAACCACAACATCAAACTGATCACCAATGGTGCCAAGATGAAGAAAATAACATGGTACATTACCAATTACATTGCCAAAAGCTAACACAGGTCATTGAATGTGTCAGCACTGCTGGCTTGCAGACTGGCAACTCATAGGAAAGAAGTCAAATGCAATGAACACATTATATTGCAGAACAAGCTTCTAATTCAACAGTATGCTAACACACTTTCTTACAACCAGGAAATTGGAGTACCCATGGTTATGGTTATCTTATTGGTTGGGGCAATCACTTTGAATTGCACCATTATGCACCACTATACCTGGACACAGCCATCAGAACAGTCATTTAGCTCAGCATTCATGATCTGGGTTTTCCCACAGGTTATGTTTATGTATTCCTTCCTCCCTACATGAGAGTCTTACATATGCACTGAACAGCAACATGGTCACATTGTAGACATTGGGGCAGTTGGGATTATAATGCATGGATAAAAACTAGGTGATTAGGCACTTGGTTTCAGATAGAGGTAGTCAATTTACTGAATGAAAGAAGCATGGTGTAGAAGTTTGACATGTTTGATAACATGGATAAGCAATGTGTGTCATATTGGAGGTTTGACCAGAACTTTTTCCATGACAACATATACCTGAAACTTTGAGATTCTGGCAGGAGGCCTTAAACTTTTGCCA